CTACGTCTTTTCATAATAATCTCCCACATACCATACACACGGCGCATTACTTAAAGAAATTGTTATGGATTTAGAAACAACTCTAAACGAAGACCAGCAGAGTTGAATTTTGTTTAAAAACAAAAGATGAGAAATAATTAAGATGTGACCAACCTTTCATTTCCGCGCACAGAGAGAAAGGACGCCAAACGACCTTCCAGCGGTCTGCGTTGAAATATTGCTGGAAATAAAACCTGACTCGACTGAACGGACAGTGAGTAATTACTTTTGAATACAAATCAATGTATGCAAAGGTCGGCCGTCTAATATGTTTAAATACCAATTGCTTCCTCCGGCTTTGCACGGGTATACTAATGAGATGAGGAGAATAATATCCAATCTTTCTTCTAACCCACTCACTCACTTTTTTATGGAGACTAACTGACCTGGCAAACGTTGTTTTAACATATAAATATTTTTTTTCTGAGTAAGGACACCCTAATCATCTAGTAGTATGAAATTACGATCTCTTATGGGGAGAAAGGGATTGTTAGCAATGCGGACTAACAGTCCCATTGCTAGCAATATACCCTGTCATGTTGGTCTTAACGTTGTCCCTCTAGTAAGTCGTGCTGAATTTCATTACGATGGGCTAACTGACCTGTCTTTTCATTTTCACCTATCATCCCTCACTGGTGCCCCACCAGCGTATACCGTTAGCGTAGGCGGGGTTACCATTCTGTTATCATCCATTAAAAAAAAACACGCATGTGGTTTTGATTTGAGATTCATTGTCATTTTGATATCTTTTATACGACTGTTTAAAAAACGAGTGTATTGTTTTAATCCTTTTAAACCGTTATATCATCCCGAATAACACTGGCTTAATTTTTTTATGGCAGTCTTTTTTTTTATAATTTACCGAGTAAAATGTACTCGGTTTAAGATTATGTTCCGCTAAAAACCGAATTTTAGTTAATTAATAAAATATATTATTTATGCATCATTTATATAAGTATGTATCTATATAATACAATTTTATCTTTGGCTGTTAATTAAGTCACACAGAGTTACACGCTGGGTTCGATGCACGCGTCCGTGTAGCCTAACTTCAGGCTGCAGCTGAAAATCAGTGCTTTGCTTTTAAGCAAAACTATCACTGAGCTGTAGTCTATTTGGGTCACTGCGACACACATGGCGAAAACATATTTTCGTATTTTATCTTTTGTTTTGTTGGTTGTTGTTGGAAAAATGTTGGGACACTTGATACGACACGACGAACTTATGAACATTATAATAGAAGGTAAGATAGAAGGAAGGAGGGGGAGAGGGAGACCGAGACATAGTTACATCAGGCAGATCAAGGAAGGACTTGGTGTCGTGTCGTATCAAGAGGTGAAGAGACTCGCTGAAAATCGTAGTGAGTGGCAAGAGTTCCACCGACAAGAGCGTAGCTCTTAAATAGGATAGATTGATAGATCTTTTGTTTTATATTTATAAAAAAAGTATAATTAATTTGATTGTATGAACTCTTTTGTTAATTTACATGTGTCATAAATGGATTAAATAAAGTGTTTATTTATCTATCTATCTACCAATTGTGAGGAGACCAGTTATTTTGATGTACAAACTAAACTACTTAACAGATTTGGATATAATTACTATGAGACCAATTTGTAAGTAAATCTTTATAAATAAAAAATAATAATTATCCAAATCGGTTTTCAACTTACATTGTTCTTATGTAACAAACATATAAAGTACAATACATACCCAATTGTGGACCCTCTTATTGAAGTCGCTTAAAAAATGGATTAGATTGCGACTTCAAATACAACATATTGTTGTGTATTAAAATATAGGTGCTAATTTCTATCAGCGGTCTATATTTAAAAAGTTAAATTTGTGCTGCGCGCGCGGTGTTGAAATGAGGGGAGGGAAGTCGGCATTTTGACGCGAGATGTTTTATGTTAACGACGAGTCTTTATCTCTGCCCTGTCTCTATCTGTCTACATTGTGTCTATGTATAAATAAGATGTAGCTTTAAGAGCGTTCATAACTTTATCTTGAATTATAAACAGATTTGGAAATTTGTTTCTTTATTTGAAAGGATATACTTTGAGATTGTCCCATAGATGTCCAAAAATAGATGGAGATGGTCCCATAGAAATTTTATCAAAATCGGTTCAGTAGTTTAGTTTTCAACCGACTTCAAAAAGGAGAAAGTTCTCAATTCGGTTTTTTGTGTCTATTACTTTATAACCGTCAGTTGTAAGCTGATTTGGAAAATTGAAAAATTCTTTTTTTACTTGAAAGGATATACTTACAGATAGGTTTTATGGAAGTTTTATAAAAATCTGATCACTAGTTTAATTTTTAAATCAAAATAACAGATTTTTGCCACAATTGAAGTCGGTTTTTTTAATACAATCTTATTTGAAGTCGGTTAAAAACTCACATGTCGGCCACAGTACGCCATTGTTTATCGCGAAATGATGAAGCTAACGATTTTTTTTTAAATAGAATCCATTAAACTTGACCTTCGCCATACAAACGGTAACAAACATTCATTCATGCATTATAATTTTAGAACTAAAACGCGAGCCAATGAATAATTAACTAGTGAGCGTCCATTGGTTTGCTTATTTTTCATCTTTATTTTTTTTAAGTTACTTAATCGCAATGTAGATCGGGGAGGTCCTAGTGCGCGTACATTACACGGCATATTCATCAAATGAAAGGCCGATTTTTATGATTTTTTTTGTAGTCGATTGTGTTTACTTAGATGACGGTCATATCCCATTGAATTTGACCTTGGGCGTGCTGATAGTAACGTTCGTTCATTCATACATTATAATTTTAGAAAAAATATGCGAGCCAATATCTAAAACTAGTAACCGCCCACTGCTTCGCTCGAATTTCAAGACATCGCAAATTCCTGTATTTGTCTCTTAACGACTTAAAATTATGTTCTCAATTCGAGTGTTTTTCTGTTTGTATATTACGCGACATCTTTGCCAATACTAATATAGTATTATATTATCTTCGCCAATACTATGACCTATTTTGATGGTTCTTTTTGCAATCGATGCGGCCTTCATTTTGGCCAACAATTATCCTAATAATATTATAAATATGGAAACTGATAAGAAAATAATTTTCCAATGACGGTTTGGTTTTCAAATGACGGAATTAACAAACAAAATACGCAAGAATTGTGAATCGCCTGCTGTTTTTCAAGTCGGTTGAAAATAGATAGATAAATAATTAATTTGCATTACTTACAGCACACAAATAACAATACAATACACATAATATAGACATACACAGTAAAAAGAAATAAAAGAATGAAAAACAAAAAATAAGCAACAAAAAACAAAAAGCAAGATATATAAAACAACAATTTCCTTCTTTCATACGTGTGCCATAGTAACACAAAATGGTCACAACTCAGTTTATTGCTTGGCTCACAAAACACTGATATTCTGCTGTAGCCAAGAGTCAGTCGCGAAATTCCTTAATAAAAATAATAATAAAAAAGAAATATAAATAAAATACTTTGTGTGTGTCCATTACATTTGCCTCCATTTGATATAATATATTAATATTTATATTTATATAAATAGGTTACCATAGGGAGACTTTGTACAAAAGTCGTTTACTTGGGTATCTCTGTCCTATTCGTATTTCAAACGTAAAGTAGTTGTGTTTGCATGGCTATGTTTGGGTTTGAAGGGTGGGATATGGCGTGAATTTACAGGGTACAGAGAAATAACATTTGAGTGGAATGGCAACGCATGGGGTGTATCATGGGCCAAACAGTATACTCTGTTATGTCCATGGTATTGCTCATGTCTATAGGTGACGGTTACCACTTTCCATCAGGTGGGCCGTCAGCTTGTTTGCCATTTTAAGTTCTATAAAAAAATAGGTTACATAGAGTCTACACAAAATAGATAAAACTAATGTTAATATATAAAAAAAAAACAGTTACATAACTGCCACTGTCTTTATATTACGCCTAACTACTTCCTTTCGTTTCGCCTTATTCGCTAAGCCGCGTCCGCGCCCCGCATAATAATGTTAGTGATGCGTCAAACCATGAAATAATCTGGCGATTACGTCGCGTGACCCATGGGTAACGATGGTGATTTCGACAATACAGTGGCACGATTCTTGTAAAAAAAAAAAAACATTGAAATTAAAAGGTGTTTCTGTCGAAGATTTATCTATCCAAAGAGTTCGATGGTCGTTGATGTAATCCTGTTCTTTAAGCTTCGGATAGTGCGTCCGTATCCGTCGGATAGAGATGTCGCTAGGTAATTTTTTTAAATATTTAATGATTCCCAGTAAACATTTTTTTCATCATACACATTTGATCTGTATGTGCTCCGGCATAGAATGTGCCACCCCTTCCTTTCTCGTGGGTGTCGTAAGAGGCGACTAAGGGAGGACGAGGGATAGGTAGCAGCGTCCCTCTTAAAACATCTCTAAAAGCCTGACTACGTTAGTCAACCCGCCTGCTAAGCATGGCAACAACTGGCAAAACTACCCTCATGGATAAGGCTAATGTCCAGTAGTGCACAGTTAACGGCTGAAATAATAAAAAAAAAAAACATTTGATCCACCTGATAAGGTACGCCTTTAAAACTAGGGATATCAAGTGAGGTTATAACCCGCATGTAACACCCCTGTCTTTATAGGCCTTGTGATTTTTTACTTACATCTTACTTCTGCCTTGAAGCATATATGCTTTTAAGCATACTCATACAATTAAAATGAAACCTTGAAATATGTAATTTCATGCAAACTAAAAAGCTAATTTAAACTAGTTTGTAATATAATTTAATTTGTATTCTTTTGTGCTTCTATTCTCTTCTTTTTCTTTACTTCTTCCCGTTCATACAGGGTCGGTTCTCAACCTCATGCGTTAGACGTCTCGTCTGGAATGTCTATGAAAAAAAATAAAAAAAAAAGTATTTTTCCATCTCTAATAAATAATTATTGTTCTATTGTTCTAGAACAATGATTCGAACGAAAGTTGCGACGCTGCGATTGCCGTTTGCGATGTCTCGATGACGCGCGCTCGCTTCTGATTGGCGGGCCGTGACGTCACCTCCGCTCTGATTGGGTGAAAATGTCAGGCCTGCAGTCAAGGAACGAGGATGCCATCAATGGAGTCGACGTGAGGGAGCAAGGAAGCGCTTTGAGGTTAGTACTATTAAGTAGAGTAACTTATTTTACAACCCAAACCCACATGCAGCTTTAGGCTTTCGTTATATTAAGCCGATCTTCCACCGCGAACGATCGGCGACCGAAGATTCTCTGACTGTACCGCTATTAGTGACTACAGACCATATATCGCGTTGCCAAATTGAGTACTGTTTTTTTTCTATTTTGGGTAAAAAATTATCTGTACGCGAAATTTTGGAGAGAGAGGTGTCTTCAGGGTCGGTAACGTGCACGCAATGCCCCTGTAATATTTGCCACCTCAATAGTTTTAATTTATTTTTTTACAATTTTGATGTTTGTATACCGCATCGCGGTTTAGAAATGCAATAAAATATATCAATGAAGGTAGCAAAACAGGAGCTGATAAAGCAAAAGAAAAGAAGATGATAAGAGGAATTAAACGTAGGGAAGGTTTTTTTGTCGTTCATTTTGTGGTACATGGCAAAATGTACTAAATATTGATAAAAAAAGTTGTGATTGCGTATCGATTTGGAAAAAATAATTTTAAATTAGGTAAAAAAAATCTGGATAAGGCCATTACATTTGGCGTACGATCAATCGGACCAATTTTTCTTTTTCTCATGCCGTTTAATATGAACTCTACTGATCTTAATGGTCGTTATGAATCCCAACCGAAACAGAAATAAAAAAATTAAGATCGAACTCGTATTCCCATGTCTTCCTTCTCGCTTACACCCAAATCTGAGGGAGACTGTACAAAAGTCGTTTGCTTAGGCATCTCTGTCGCATTCGTGTTTCCACTGTGAAGCAGTTGTGTTTGCATGGCTGTGTTTCAGTTTGAAGGGTGTGATATGGTAGTGAATTTACAAAGTACAGAGGAATAACATACGAGTCCTCAGGAATGACAACACATGGGAGGTATCACGGGCGAATCAGTATACTCTGTTATGGCCACGGTACTGCTCATGTATATAGGCGACGGTTATCATTTTCCATCCGGTGAGCTGTCAGCTTGTTTGCCATTATAAGTTGCATAAAAAAATCTGAGTAGCTGAAGAGCAGCTGATAGAAAGAGACACTAAACAATCCTAAGTTATACTCTATCCCGCTTACACACAACGATGTTATCGAAACAGAAATATCACGCCTTTTAAGGTCAAATTTATTAGCATCAATTTGGTGTTCACGGTGCAATTTCCATTTGATTTTAAGCTTCTTTTTATGTTAAACTTAGAAAAAGCAAAGAAAACAAATTTATTCAAATTGCAATGTTGTTCTTAATCCGTGTTTCAATTATGCTAAGTCAGAATGAACAATCTTATTTACTAAATAATAGAGTTCAGAATTGTACGTGAAAATCTTCAAGCTTTTACCATAGCTCCAAGGGTGGCCAGCGAACCGAATAATTGTTCGTTACGAACAATAAATGCGTACAAATTGTCCCGTCTGAATATTCTTTAATATATAGTTACCATGCCATAATTTGTCCATTCTGTGCTCATAACGTAATTGTGGGTAAATCCACAGATATGCACTTTTTTTTAATTTTTTTTAATGGAATGATAAATGCGTTTGTGCTATCGGTATATGCTGGCGAATGCCAGTAAGGGATGATAGGTGAGAATAAAAGCTGGTCAGCCCGTCGTGACGAGTTCAACAAGAATTAAACTACGATGATTTCCAGTGGGAACCGCGTAGAATTCAACCTAATAGGGTAATATTGCTAGCAATGGAGCTGTTAGTCCCACATCACTATCCTTAACTTAATATTGCTAACTATGGGGACTGTTAGACCCCATCACTATCGCTTTCCTTCCACAGATTTGCGTTTAAATAGATATTTTTTTATGCAACTTAGAATGACAAATAAGCTGACGGCCCGCCTGATAGAAAGAAAAGTAGCCGTCGTTATAGACATGAACAGTGCCACGAACATAACAGAGTATACTGTGTCGCCCATGATATCATACAGGTGTTGTCATTCCTTAGAATTTTTTTTTTATGAGTGATAATGGAATGGTAACCCCACCCGCGCTATCGGTATACATCGGCAGGGCACCAGTGAAAGATGATAGGTGAAGATGAAGCAGGCCAGTTAGCCCATCGTGACGAATTCAACAAGAATTGTTCACGATGGTTTCCAGGGGGAACCACATGGAGGTGGACCTGATATTATATGGGCATATTGCTAGTAATGGGGCTGTCAAACACCACTGCTAACAACCCCTTTCCCCCCTTCCTGAGAACTAAGAATATTAAAAAAAAATATAGTCTGTATTCTATACATGAATATAGTCTATTTGAGAGGAGATAGCTCAATATAAAGTGATCAGTAAATAGTTAACAACTAATATATAGTTAATAAATAATAGGCCTCTACAAAAACGGGGGTTTTGACTGTAGTTGCCACTCTTGGCAGGCGTGTTGGCAACCGCAGTTAGACTGGTGATGTTTTAAGAGGGACATTGCTTGAGGGATGAGCCCTCAACCATTATGTTCCCTTAATCGCTTCTTACCACACCCACGGGAAAGGAAGAGATGGCCTTTTCTATGCGGGGCACACACATGCGCACGGCAAGTTATTATATTGCCAGTTATTATTCTTAAATTAACCATAACAAGGCTGATTCTGTTGCGGAACAGTCATGCTAATGATGTTTTATAATGACTACATAAAATCGTTTGTGAAGACAATAAGGAAAATCAAAGACTAATGATGATTCTCCAAGGTTCTCAGTTCGACAATTATATTAATCGTGTTCTCGACGCAACAAAAGTATTTAAAAACCGAACAAGACCGTGTTGGACTCATATTAATTGGATTCTGTAGTTGTTTTGAAATAGTAGGATCTTCATCGTGCCTCCAATCAAACTGTTTATAATTACTCTTCTCCATCCAAAGGTTGCCTGGAAGAGATCGCTCTTAGCGATAAGGTCGCCCATTGTTTACTCATTGTGATTATTTTTTGTAATTGTTTATATTTAGAATAAGTTTACTATTGTAATCTTTTGGAGGAAACAATAAAGAGTATCTATCTATCTATTTTGCTATATGGTCCCGGCATTAAAATAGGCCACCCCTTCTATTCCCATGGATGTCGTAAGAGGCGACTAAGGAAGCGCAAGGGATGAGCAGCAGCGTCCCTCTTAAAACATCTCTAAAGCCTAACTGCGGTTGCCAATCCGCCTGCTAAGCGTGGCAACTACTGGCAAAACCCCTACTTTATGGGGGAGGTCTATGTTCAACAGTGGACAGTTAATAGCTGATACGGTATTGTATGGATATATTAAATTTGAATAGACTTAATAATAGCTTTTTTTATATAATAGTCTTAGATTATATAGATAGAGCATCGAGCGTCAAAAACGGGTCAACTTTTTATCAGCTAATTGTCAAATTAGCTGACTCGTTTTTCTTATCAGTATCCTATATATTTACGCATTAAATAAGATGCAGAAATTATAAGACCAAAATAAATATTGAAGTTATAAAGGAATCACTCATAACTATTTATCGCGCAAAATTGTATGAAAAAGTTGATCCGTTTTTCTCGAAGCATTTCTATGGAGACACTCTATCTATATAATCTATGACAATAGTGTCAAATCAATCATTTAGGATCAATCATCAAATATTTAGGAATAGAATAGATGTATTTTTTATACATATGGATATGTATAAAAATTTTACATACACATTTTCTATACACTAGCCTGCTATAAATTGAGAAAAATAGCAATTGATGTTATATCTTTCGTCCTCTTTTTACTAATTATATTTTCATGAGAAAAAAGGAGACAACCATATGATTTACAGTTTTTATTTTATCATTTCTTTTTTGTAATTCCTTGTTCTTGGTACATTGCCTGGGCCCAGTCGTATGTTTCTGTCAAATCGATAGATCAGTAAGTGATTTAGTACTTCTACAATTACACAGTCGGTGTACGTGACGCCTTGTGGACTTCTTAGCGACTTTACTGGCTTCTCATACGTAACCTTGTCTGTTTATATTTGTATATTGGATTATACACTGGCGTGTAAGTGGTCATAATAACAATGATTTCATTATGTGGTAAAGGCAAAATGTATTAAACGCCACTTTGGTTGATAATGAGTTGTGTAATACACAACTCATGGGGGAAAAGGGATTAGTAATGGGGACTAACGGTCCCATTACTAATCCCACTTGGAAATCACTTACCATCATGTGATTATATATATATATATATATATATATATATATATATATATATATATATATATATATATATATATATATATATATATATATACACAGTTGTGTTTGCATGGCTGTGTTTCGGTTTGAAGGGTGGGATAGTGCATAGTAATTTACAGGGTACAGAGGAATAACGCCTGAGTCCTCAGGAATGGCAACGCATGGGGGGTATCATGAGCGAAACAGTATACTCTGTTATGTCCATGGTACTGCTCATGTCTATAGGCGACGGTTACCACTTTACATCAGGTGGGCCGTCAGCTTGTTTGCCATGCTAAGTCGTATATAAAAAAATAAAAATTCGTAATAAATTCGGAAAACCATCTTGGTTAGTTCTTTTTGAATTCATTACGATAAGCCAATTGACCTCCTTTCATCCTCATCTATCATCCCTCACTGGTACCCTGCCAGTGTATACCTATAAAGCAGGCAGGGTAACCAAAATATTTTCATCCATTGCTTATCGTTATGTCGTTATTACAGTGACAAATGTAAATTACCTATTTTAATAACAATGTATCCCTAATCACAAGTAGAGTTTTGTTAACCGTTTAGAATAGAAGTACTGTGGTTTATAATTATGTCACTTGGTTCAATCGATGATCAAGTACTTGTTAGAGTTTTGTACATTTAAGAATTACTATATAACGGAATTTCTAGAAGATTCTCAATTCATCTATTTACAGGGTGTCCGGTAATGAATGGATAACCTTGAAACGTCTTATAGTTCAACTTATGGCCGTCCTAGAAAAAAATACTAAGTAAAAATAATAATAAAAG